TAAAAAAATCCATCTTTTATAGTCACCAAGAAGTATACAACATTGGAGTCAAAAATAAAATTATATATATATAAAACGTTGAGACATAATTGACGAACTTATTTTAATTGCTGGATATATGATTTAAGGAATAAGAGCGTCCTTGTTTAAAAAAAATTAGGAGCTTCCCAACAAATTCGAGGTATATGTTTTGGATGAGGTTATGCTATTTTTTTATTAATTAAATTAAATTTAATTCAATCAGTTTAAATAGATAACAAAAAAAACTTACAATGTTACATTTCATCAAATAGAAGGTTGGTAGGAATTTTTATAATCTTGTATCTAATTTATTTTTATTTATTATAATTATTTATTAATTAAATATTAATATTTTAAAATAAATTATCAATAAATATAAATATTTTTTCACAATACAAATTATTTATCATAAATCTAAAATATAATTTATATGTTTTAAAATATTTTTGTATACTTATTTTAAATATAATTTATATGTTCAAATATGATATTTTTTTTTATATATAATTTATTATAAATTTTAATTATATTATATATAATAAACATGCTCATACATTACACATATTGAAATATTAGTATATATATATATATTTATTTATTTATTTATAAAAAAATTGTACATTTTATATCAAATGACTTATATAATGTCTTTGATAATTGTGTATAGTACGTAGGAGTTAAGCTTCAATCCCTACTTCGAAAACTTTTAATATTTTCTAATTTTTTTTATTATATTTGTATAAAATGTTTACAATTTTATTAATAATTAATCCCTATAAAAAAATCTAATTAATCACTTTTATTTTAATTAGTGTGATTAGAAAGAAAAATATTATTAAAAATATTCAGTTAAATTCTTTGATCGAAAATAATCAATAATAAGATTAATAGATGTATATCAATAAAAATAACATGATTATAAGAAAATAATTACATTCATGATTTAAATTAGTGATTCACCCTAAAAGTTATCTACTGAGTTTTTTTGGTCGTGTAACATGTAATTTTTTTGCTTAATTATCATATCGCAACAAATTTTGAATTCAAGATTCTATAATCTCCAAGTCCCACGTGTACATGCATGCTAAATGTAAGAATGTATGTTAATGCCATTTCAGAATTTCAATTAAGTATCCAAATAATCATCTCGTAGCATAGCACATGTTAAAATTATCCAATCTGAAGTAAAAGTTAGTGTCAATAATATTTCAGGATTTTATAAGAATACATAACTAATAAAGAAAAAAAATCTGGAAAATGTCAAAGTAAGGGATATTAATGGTCATAAGATGAGGATAAGATAGATGGATAAAAAAAATGAGGAAAAGATTGGGAAAAAACAGACGAAGAAATTAATAAAATAGACTTATACTGTTAAAAAGTAAATAACACTGGGAGAGGTGGCAATGATGGGTGATGATATGGTTCTGGTGGAATCGGATGCTGGTGACAAACTTAGGTACCTTTAGAACAATGTAAAACTTTTCGCATCTATTAACTAGATTTTAAGATGTCATATACTCACCAAATTCGCCAAACGATTCTGCGGGACTCCTTGGAATAAATCAGTGTTTTTAATTTCAGTTCCACTAATCCCTGCATTGTTAACCTGCATTGAACGACTTTTCTTAGTCCTTCTTTGGTATAAAATAAATAGAAAAAAAGAATTGAAAATGGAGAGAAAAAATTAGATAAGAAATGAAATTAGAAGATTGTTTAGTATAAAATAATTATCTCAGATGAAAAATAAAAAAAATGAGTTTCAAATCTTTTTATTTCCACTAGTAAGGTCGAGACACTTCGTGCTTTTATTAAAGATAAAATAAAATAAAAATTAAGTAATAAATATAAGTTGATCTAATGTTATAATTAGTCAATTAAGTCGGTTTTCAGATTATTACCTTCAATTAGGTCGGTTTTTCAGATTACTACTTCTAATTAGGTTAGTTTTCAGATTACTACCTATTAATTTATTATTTTTTGTTTTAAATACTTACCTGACGTTGGTCCTGCCACGTCATCACTCAACAGTGTTTGTCACTTCATCACCATGTCCATGTGGCAGTCCCTTGGATAATGTGACAGACACACTGTTAGGTGATGACGTGACAGTCTATTTGTCACGTCATCATTTAACAGAAGAAATTAACGTCAAGTACTTAATTAAAAAAATAATTTGTCAAATAATTATAAAAAAAAATTAAAAAGTAATAATCTAAAAATCAAGTTAATTTGAGATAGTTTAAACATATTTAAGCCTTTAAAGTATTGTCCAAGTTTCAAAAATAAAATAATCCAAACAATACGGTCCATTAAAAGCCCGTATATCACGAGTTCAATTCTCAGTATGCAGAGTAGTCCAAAATATTTTACTGTTACAACTCAACATTACGGAGATTTTTTTTTTCTTCTTCTTTTGTAAATACTTTAGAAAAAAACTCAAATAGTACTAATTAATCATAAAATAAAAAATCTTGAT